CTTTTACAAAATATCTCCTGAGCAATGATAAGGGATCCTGCTCTGCATCAACTCCTCAGGTGTCCCATGAGGAACCCAAGCCCTTTTATGGGGCCTTTCTCTTTCCTTGTACCCTTTTGTCTAACCTTCCCACTGAAGTGCCCACCCACAGAGCCCAGGGAGACCACAGGCAGGAGAACCCTTCCAGCAGGAGGTAGCCGTGTTCTCGTTCCCCCCACACCTAGAGTACGGCTGAACTCTTGGTGTTTGTCCTTCAGAGACTTACGTTCCTGAGGACTGTGCACTCTGACAATCTCACTTTGAGTTGAGGTCCGACCAAGGGCGGTGCACACTGCTGTATTTTCACCTGGCTTGAAACGAGAGAGCTTATGTATGGCTGGCACAGTCCTCCAGGGTTCAGCATGGGCCAGGCAGATTAGCAGCTCGGGTCTGCATTTCACACAGCTCTACAGCAGCCTTCCTACTATTAGCACTACTTATTTCAGTAATTTAGTCATAGCAGTGATGATAGTCATAAGAATCAAAAACCATGGAAAAAGGGGTTTAAAGGAAAATAATGGTATCAGACTACCATAGATACCTTCAAGTTCCCACCTTGCTGCTGGAAGATGCTGCTTTCTGTGGAGATACAGTGCTGGACAACCCATCTACTCTTGGTTTCTTGCAAATAAAATGGATGCTTCCACAAACAGTCTAACCAAACCTGCTTTATTTCACATTTGCACTGAGTGAGGAACATCCATTAACAAGGTCAGCTAGTGCTTCTCAGCTGAGGAACAGAAATTAAGACACCGAACTCCACCACTTGACATAGCTAGATCATAACTTGAATCTTGGTCTCTGCAGCTAAAAGCTTTGTACAAAGCAAGTGCTCAGATGACAGAAGAGTATGAAGTTTTAGAGAAAAGGAATCGATACACGAGTTTCTCAATTTTTAAGATATAAAAACTGCCAAAAATTTCACACAGAGGTGGCAAACATTGCCCCATACTGAAGTTCAGGGGTCTCCCTCATTAAGTCAGAAGTCTCACCCACAACGTAAGCACAACCTTTGTGGACAGACTAAACACAGTAAGATCACTGGGCACTCCTGCAATGTGTCTTCATGTGGATCTATGAGGAAAAATAAAAACTAATTGAAACTAGAAACAAGCATCTATTTACTACTCTTTCATAATTTTCCATCTTGGACACTGACCCCAGCAGACTGATGGGGGAACAAAACAGAAGTTCACTCACTTCCTTAAAACAACTCCAGAAAGCACCTGGGTTAGAGCAGCAGTGACTCTCCTTGCCTGACATCATTATACAAGGAGAAAGCCTGGAGGAATAAGGTATTCAGGGAAGAAGGTATTCAGATAAAGAGGGTCTGAGCAACCCTCACTACTGCACTCAGGCTAACTCAGCAAAGCAGCTCTCACTTGCTCAGCAATGTCCATGACACAATACCTGGTATCTACTGAGGGGCTGCTACCCAGTAACTCATGAGCTGGGTACTACTGAACTCCTAAGCTACTAACTTGATTGCATGTGGTTATGAATATTGAAAGTGTAGTATCCAGATACACCAAAAGAACCCCAAATAAATATGATAGTCTAGTGAAAAGAACTGAGATGTGAAAGTTAACAGCTGCAGCACCTAAGATCCTGCATTACTTAGTCAAATAGCAAGGAGAAGAAGAAGAAAAAAAAAAAAAAAAAAACCACCACACACACACAAACAAAAACACCCTGAGTCTTTATTGAGATTAAAGGTCTCCCTCCCCCTTCAATCCCATCACTCAGCTAGCATGCAAAATGCTAACTGCCCAGTTCTAGCTTTAGCCAGCCTCAAAGATCTTCCTAGTTTAAAAACAAACTGAAGGTCGCAAACATGGCTTGTCAAAATGCCAGCAGGTCCATTTCTGTCAGACAGAGGTCACTGCTGTAAGTACAATATTGCTGCAAAAAAGACTAGGATGATTTGGGAGGATAGAGGCACCACAAAGAGATCATTTAAGGAGGGTAGGAAAGACTAAGGGAAATAAATCTTTAAGAAACACTGTAAAAGTTATGACAGTCTGTAAACTCAACCCCCCACAATCTCAGCACAGCAAGCTGTCTAAGCTACTCAAGGGTAGTCAGACAAAATCCACCCATCGCAGGGGTCGACCTGCTGTTTGAGTGAGGGGTCTGCCTACCTGCCACCTCCCCACGGAGCCCAGGGGCTGCTTGAACTGTCTCTCCTCCACTTCATTTGGAAACCCTGCCTTTCTCACTGTGACCCTAAATAGCAGTTCTGACACCTAGATCAGTGGGGCAACACAGCTGCATCAAGTGAGAAAGTCTGGTTTCTTCTTCCATTTCTCCTGCAGTTCACACTGGAAGAGCCAGCAGAGCATCTCCTTTCTCTGCCTCACTTTCTACCAGTGAATAGATTCAAAATGACTTATGACTTCAGCCTGAAGGACTCATGTGTCTACCTTAAAAGGACACCCAACACAAAATATTCTGAAATATAACATTTGTATTGTTACAAGTATTTAAAAATCACTGAAACAATCTGGAAGTGAAGTTCTCTCTGCCTCAGATTCATTTGCCTGCTTGGCAGCTCTAAGTAGCTTGTCTCTATTTTTTATGGGCTTTTTCCACAATGCAGCAAGGATGGCTCCTTCCACATGAGAAGTTGTTTTGGAGGGGGACAGAGATACTCCGAAAGCAGAAAACACAGAAGCCTGTGAAACTCAAAGGGATTTTATACTGTCCAGATTGAGAACTGTCCTAAGGTTTCTAAGGAGAGGGGAAAAAAAAGGGGGGAAAAAAAAAGGAGGGGGGGGGGGTAAATAACAAGAAAATGAAGAAAAGAACACTCAAACCACCAGGCTTTAGGACCACAAATTAAGGTACCTTGGGGAGATTGGTATCACAGTCAGAGATACTTTGTGGAATGGCTGAGCTGTTGTCTGCAGTAAACGACAAGCTCAGCTCATCAGTCTCCAAATTTGGTTGCCGAAGCTCAGGCCATATGAACCCCTCTTTGCCCCCCTGCCCAGACCTGAAATGTTTCAGTTTAATAAATCAATATCAGGGCTAGTCCAGACCAGGAGCTTCCTGTGACATGAAGTATCTAATTATTAACTGTTGTTTCTGAAGAACTGAAGTAGGCTGAAGCAGACTCAAGTACTCACTTTCTCAAGAAGTAAAAAGCTCTCACAAATCAAGCCCAAATAAGAGCCAAGCAGAACGTTTCTTGCAACAGAAGCAACCTTACAGAGCAGCTGAAGGAGTTCTCCCACATAAAATACATCCTGCCATACTTGAAAGTTTTTCTCTGCCTTTCCCTTCTTCAAAACCTCTAAAATAACCAAAGCAATACAATGCAGTCACAGAACAACATAAATAACACTTTAATATTATTTTAAATCAACAAACAACTCTAAATAGAATTGGGGAGAGCTCATTCACTGCACTGCGGTTAACAGCCACTTTTCTGAGGAAAAGCCCAAGTAGGCAAGCACACAGTGCTGTGAGCCCATTCAGCTTAAGCAGCCAACCCACAAGGGAAGTAGAATGACAAAATACAGCAAAAATCTTTGTCGAGCACCCATGTCAGGGTGCAGTTTAAGCAAATTACATTTCCAGAGCAGATGCGCATCTCTCTGCTTGCCCCGATTTCCACACAGATGGGAAAGAACTGCATTCCTTACAGGATTTCCATCAAGTCTCAACTGTACTACCAAGCAGAAAAGCAGCCAGAGCTTTTGCTCTGCTTG